AAAACGGTACAGATCAAGAGGGCCCGACCTCTCGTGCCGCCCGGGCGGTCGGGAGCGCGGGGAGGAGAGTCCTCACCGCGGGAGCGTCAGTGTTCCCAGCAGACCAGCGAGTCCGGCACGAGGCGGCGGTCGGAGCCTGGGCCCGCGCGGGGTCGCACCCGGGGTCTGCTTTCTCCGCGCTGGAACGGCCCCCACTGACCCCGCGGCCTTTGAACCCCTGCCCTTCCGGGGTCCCGGGAGTGGGAGACGCCGTGGCTTCCGTGAACCCTCACTCGGACCGAGGAAACGGGGCAGAAACAGCCGCTTTGCGTGGTCACCAAGGCCGCCGCAACGTTGTCGTTGCAGAACCATGGAAGCGGCACGTTGGCCAGGAAGGCAGGACGGTGACGCCGGCCCGATCTCAGGGCACCAGGTAGCCCGTAAAGAATTAGATCCTCGTCGTTCTACTTGGAAAATGCGTGTGAACCTTAGTACCCATAACAGCACGTACACATAGTCCCCATGTATAGAGAGTGAAACCCCAAATTAAGCAAGTACATTCAAAAAAAAAAAACAACAACAAAACAACAACAACAACAACAACAAACAAACCTCACGGGACACCCGCCAATCTAACAAGAGAGCAAAGATGTGCGGGGAAGTGAGGGTAGCTGTCTATTTCGATCACTTTTGTTTTCCTTAAATTTTTCATAGGAAGCATTGCTCTCTGCGTTATTTATATTACCGGAAAATATGAAAATGGAAAGCCAGGTTTAAAGCAATATGCCACTGCGTACCCTTACGTTAAAAAGCCTGTGTGTGTCCGAACACACACACACAGCAGAAACAGCAACAACTACAACTAGACATGTGTCAACAAAACACCGAATGCTAACTTCCCTGTGTGTGTTGGAATCGTAGCTAGCCTCATTTTCTGCTTTCAGCTTTTCTCTCGCTTTCAAATTTTCAGGCCAAGTATATGCATTTCTTTGTACTTGGATGTAAAGGGTCCCCGCACGTCCTCTCAAACGATAGGATGATTCTATATCACTTGTCATGTGTTTGAAGGAACAGGGAGAGGTGTGGCATGGAAATTGATCTGGTGGAAATAAGGCAAGGATCTACGGGCTACGTATTTCATCTTCTAGAAAATGACTTCCGATTGGTAACTCCATTGAACCCTCAGAACAGTCCCACGAAGTGCCAACACCCACGTGTACAAATAGAAAAATGTGCAGGTAAGAGACGTTCATGAATCCACAGGGCTACTGAATGTTGGAATGAAAGCATCCAGTCTTCGTGTTTCCTTGGGGAGAAACACGAGAAATGACCCCCTTGAGAACTGAAAAGCAATAATCACTTTTCGGGTCTCGTGGATAAACCCCATTTGGTCGTGGCATATCATGCTTTTTAAAAACTACTTAATTTGGGGTGCCTGGGTGGCTCAGTCGGTTGAGCATCTGACCCAGAGACATGGGATTGAGTCCCATGTGGAACCTGCTGGAGAGTCTCTCTCCTTCTGTCCCTTTCCCACACCCACGCGCTCTCTCTCTTTCAAAAAAGGTAAAAATATTACTTAATTGAATTTGCTAAAATTTGTTAAGGATATCTGCAACTCTTTTCATGGGGAATATTGGTCTGTGATATTTTTTCTCAACTGTCATTTGGTTTTGATATCAGGGTAACGTTGACCTCATAAAACGAACAGGAAAAGTGCTCCCTCCTCTTCTAACTTTTGGAAAAGTTTATGTGGACATGGTGTCCTTCCTTCTTTAAAGGTTTGGTACGGTGCACCAGTAAAGCTCCTTATTGGCCTGGATTTTCCTTTGTGAGGTTTTTAATGACAAATTCCATGTTAAATAGATTGATGGCAACTTAGATTAGTTGTTCTTGAGTGAGCCGTAGTTTGATCCATTTGACCTAATTTATCACATTAATTGACATAATATTATTCATAACATTATTTTATTGTCTGCAGAATCTGGTTCCCTCTTTCTTTCCTGGTATTGGTAATATGTGACTTCTTTCCAGATCAGTCTGGTAGAGATTTGTCAATATTATTCAACTTGTCAAATAACCCGATTTTGGGGTTCACTGATTTTCTCTGTTCTTCTGTTTTGTTTAGTTGAATTTTGCTTTTCTCTTTAATATTTCTTTCTGCTTATTTTGCATTTAATTTGCTCTTCTTTTTTTTCTAGTTTTTTTTTTTAAATTAAGTTTTAAATTTTAATTCCAGTATCGCTAATCCACAGTGTTATATTAGTTTCAGGTTCACTTTTTCTAGCTTCTTGGGGTGGACTATAATTCACTGATTTAAGAACTTTTATAATATAAGCATCTCTTGCTATAAATTGCTCTCTATACAAAGCTTCAGCTGTAGATGTTTTATGTTTTGTTTTTACTTTCTTTAAGAAAATTTTTTTAAGCTTTGTTTTTGAGAGACAGACAGAGTGTGAGCAGGGGAGGAGCAGAGAGAGAGGGAGACACAGAACCTGAAGCAGGCCCCAGGCCCTGAGCCCGACACGGGGCTCGAACCCACGAATCGTGAGGTCATGACCTGAGCTGAAGTCGGACGCTTACCCGACTGAACCACCCAGGTGCCCCTTGTTTTTATTTTCTTAATAAAAAACTTAAATTTCCCTTGTGATATGTTATTTGACCTGTGGGTTATTTCGATGTATTGTCTTTAATTTCCGTTACTGATTTCTGGTTTAATTCTGTCATGATCAGAGAACATATTTTCCATGATTTCACATCCTCTTAAACTTACCAAGATTTGTCTTATAGCCCATAATACAATTTGCCTTGGTGAGTAGTCAATGTTTCTTGAATATAGTATATTCTGTTGTTGGATAGAAGGTTCGATAAATGTTAATTAGGTCAAGTTCATTGATAATGTTGTTCAAATCTGGCATGTTCTGGCTGACTTTCCTGACCGTTGTGTTCTACCAATTACTGAAAGAAAGTGTTAAAATCTTTAACTGTATTTGAGGAATTTTTCTCTTTCTCTTTGCAGTTTCTCGGATTTTGCTACATGTATTTGGAAACTGTTATTAATTGTATACAGATGTAGGGGTGTTGTGTCCTGAAGTACTTACCCCTTTACCATCATGAAATGTCCCTCTTGATCTGTTTTCCAGCAGTAAGGTGGGTGCTTTTTTTCTCATCCGTTTTTCTTCTCCCAGGTATCCGCGTTAGTCACCGTCTGAAGTCGCTTGCTGTCTGAAGAACACTGTGTTGTATACCGTATTCTGTTTTCCAGTTTAAGGTGGACGAGTATGTCTGGTCTCAGGTGTTCCACAATGCTGCAGATCACAAGTCCCTCTGGCGCTGGCCGCTTCCAGCCCACCGATCTGACTTTAAATCTTGGCGGGGTATTCGCCCATTCCTTTGTGTGGTTGCTTAATCATCTTTTTCTTCCGTGACCCTCTTCTTGAATACAGACATTTCGACGACTAAATGTATTCCTGGTCAACACGTGAGGGTTAACGCTTAGTGCAAGTCCATGAAAAAATAAGGGTGGTCAGTGTTCAATGGCAGAAGCGGACCCCCCCCCCCCCACCTAAGGATGGTTATGTAAATTTCATATACAGGTATCGATACGTAGAGATAGACAGGTACATGTGTACACATGTAGATTTGTAGAAGCCGGTTGAATAGTCCACATAAATGTTGAAGTGCTGAAGCTCAGACCCCCCAGGGCAGTTTGACCCAGACGGGAAGACAGATAAAAAGTGGGTAAGATTAGAACAAGCTGGAACCCACAAGCATGAACTGGATCCCACCGGACGGCCTGAAATCTGTGTCCGCTTTGGTTGCCTCAGAACTTGGTGGTGCAGATGTCCCGCAGAAGCCAGGGCCCTTCATTTAGGGCTAAACGCACACATGTGATCCGGGAAAGAGGGAGGCTGAAGGAGGGTGCAGGGGAAGGGAGGGTGGGGGGCAGTGGCAGACCCAGCTCTGCCTCCTGAGGAGGTAAGTCAGCAGATGAGTTAGAATGAGCAACAAGATGGCTGCTACTTGACCTCTTCCTCCAAATCTCTCGCAAGAATGTCTCCTGGGGACCATCCAATCAGAAACACATAGAAAAGGGAATTCTGGGGAATGTAGTTCAACCTGGCCAAGTTGACACAGATAATGAAGATAATGGGGGCGCTGGATGGCTCAATAAGTTGAGTGGCTGACTCTTCATTTTGGTTCAGGTCATGATCCTGGGGTCATCTGATGGAGCCCCTCATGGGGCTCCGAGCTGAGTGTGGAGCCTGCTTGGGATTCTTTCCTACTCTCCCTCTGCCCCTCTCCCCTACTCTCACTCTTTCTCTAAGATAACTATAAGAAGACAATGTTTTAGTATTTACATATATAATAACCAAGAGCACACTGTCTTAATTAGTATGGATTTATAAGTAATTACATATGTCTTGAATATATATATACATATATATATATGGTATCAGTCTTCCAACTTTGCTATCTTCTTCAATAGCTTCTTGTTTTTTAAGTTGTTCTGCATTTCCAAATGTGTTTTTAAAGCAGTGAGTTAATTTCCATACAATACATAGAGATTGATTGGATTTTATTGAACCTATTGATCAATTTGGAAATAGTTGTCATCTTGATAAAATTGAGTCTTTCCGGGGCACCTGGGTGGCTCCCAAGGCTGAGCATCCGGCTTGATTTCAGCCTGATCTCACGGTTCATGGGTTCGAGCTCCACGATGGGATTCTCTCTCTCCCTCTCTCTTTGGCCCCTACCCTGCTTGCACACATGCTCTCTCTCAAAATGAATAAACAAACATTTTTTTTTAAATTGAGTGTTTCGAAACATAGTATTTCCCTAATGTTATGTCTAATGCTCAAATTGTGCTTGGGTTTTTATTTAAAGGAGCATATTGTTAAATTAATTGTTCTATTGCTTTCTTTTTCTTCCTTCAACTTTTTATTTTGATCTAATTTCTAATTTATGGAGAAGTTGCAAGATAGTACAAAGAATTTTCATAAATCCTTCACCTATATTCGCTGTTAATTTATGATATGTGTTTTTTAATAGCTAGATATATAGAAATGTTTACACATACATAATTTTTTTCTAGTGTGCTTCAGACAAGATGTCCCCTTACCACTAAATACTTCAGTGTGTATTTCCTAAAACCAGGGACGTTCTCTTTCCTAAGCACAGAACAGTTATGAAATCTGGATTAACACTCTTATTTGATCTAGAGACCTTGTTACTGTTTTGCCAATTGTGCGAATCCTTTATTTCAAGAAAAACAGATGACATTCATTTGTCCTGCCTCCTTAGTCCTTTCGTCTGGAAGAGCGCCCCCATCTTTGTGTTTCATCTCATTGACCTTCAAAGCCTAACTTGGGCAGGTATTTTGTAGAACGCCTCCTCACCCTTGAGTTTGATGCTTTCCCGAAAGTTAAATTCAGGTTGTGCGCTTTTAGCCGAGCACCACGCAGATGAGGTCGAGTCCACCGAAGTAGGTCTCTGGGCGGCACAGGATGCTGCCTGTCCCCATCGTCCCCGCTGTCGGGTTACCGTTCTCCTTCTGTACTACTCATCGTGACGCATGCAGCTCGCTTCTTTTGCATCCGATCCGGTTGCCTAGAAAACAGTGAGGCGCAGGAAGACGGACGAGAACTGAGTGGAGCAAGCAGGTGGTCGGGGGCCCGGGACCGGCGGGAAGGCCCCGCCGCCAGGGGGCGCCCGCGGCCCGGAGACCGCCAGCCCGGGCCGGGGCGCACGGGGGGCGCGCGTGGCGTCCTCCGGCGGGAGCGCCGCAAACCGCGCACGGCCCGGGGTCCCTCCGCGCTGGGTCTGCGGGGCACCCGGGCCTTGTGCCCCCGCCACCGGGCGCGCCACCCGCAGGAGGAAACCCAGGCGGCGTCGCCGCAGAGAAAAGCTTGCTCGGTGGGTTTTGCGGGGTTTTGCCTGTGAAGACCATGTTTTAAAAAAACCGCCGCACGACGGGAGTCCGGAGGCAGCGAGAGGGACGGAGCGGGGCCCTGGTCACCAGGGCCGCCCCGCAGTGCCCGCGGGGGCGCAGAAAAACACGCCGTAGTCGGCAGGACTCGAACCTGCGCGGGGACACCCCAACGGATTTCTAGCCCGTCGCCTTAACCGCTCGGCCACGACTACCCGCGGGCGGGAGCGCACGGCCCCGCTTCCGTGGGCCGCGGCGGCGACGCGCACGATCCCTCGGGAGCTCCGCGGACACGCTGCGGCCGACCCCCGGGACCCGGAGCGGCGGTGCCACCAGCGGTCGCGGGTGAGTCCGGGCTTCCAGGACTTCCGGGCTTCCACGCGGGCTCCAGGCGGGTTCCCGGTGAGTTCTAGGCGGGCACCAGGCGGGGGGCCGCTTCCTTGGCTTTGTGCCCCGGGCGGAGGGCGCTCAGAGTTCTGCATCCCCTCGCCGGCAGGTTGCTAAGCCTCTTGTTTCCCACTCGGCTCTGACGTTGGGCCGAGGCCCGGGCTCTTCCTCTCCAGGTTTAACCAACGCCCCGCAGCGTCTGTATTTCCTCTTAGGTTTACATGTTAGTTTCTCTGGCCGCGTTTTCCCAACTCTTGAAGCGGATTTGGTCTATCCTGCTTAGAAGGGCTTAATCTCATTTTTAAACAGGGAGGACAAGGAGGGGAGGGAGGAGGGCATGGGTGGGGAGGAGGAGGGGGTTCGAGCCGAAGACAGAAGGGGCTTCGGCGCCACTAAACCGCCCGCAGGACTGAAGTATGCGTGGAGGCGGCTAAAGCCATATGTGGCCATAGACTGCGGCCATTACCATGGTGACCGAAGAAGACAAGGGGACTCTTGGAGACACCCAGACCTTCTGCAACACCTCCATTGAGGAGATGCCCCTCGGTGTTCCCGACCTTATGTGAGAGGGGCTGTCCTGCTCCCCGCAGCAGCCAGGGGTCTGTGCGTGGCGGGAAGGGGGGTTGAGGAGCAGCAGGGGAGGGGAGGGGAGGGAGACAGGGATGAGTATCTTGCTATTCTGTGCCTTTTTTTCTTTGAATAAATGTCCCTTTTTTGAGGCAAAACTAAATAGACAAGAGGAGGAGGGGGGGAGAGAGGTGACGGGAAGAGGGAAGGGGGTGGGAGGGAGATGAAGGAGGTTCCTCTCCCAACATAAAATCAGTTCTAGGAAACCCCCCAGTTTAATGGAGGGGAGACTGCTCTGAGGGGAGTATTAAGGCGGGTTTGGGGTAAAGGAGCCCGACTCCGTATTTAACTGAGCGGTCTATTGGCTGAACTGCCTTTCCCATCAAACTGAGTATCAGTCGCTGCGTAGTCACTGTTTACAAATCGGGTCAACTTATAACGTGACTAAGTGCAAATTTAAAGCAAAATGGAAGTTGTGATATAGATGTTGCCGTAATGTGTCACATTATGACGCTTTTATTTGGTCCACACGTTTTTAACAAACCTGTGACGTTCTAAGTAAATTCCTGTGGAACTGTAGTTCGAGGGAAGTCAAATACCTGCGAAAAACCAGACACGTTTCATGCTTTCAAAACAGACAAAACAAATGTGTGGTGTTAGGAATCAGACAGGTGATGGTCGAAGGTACCCTGTGGCTGCGAAAGTCCACGAGGAGGACCTGCCCGGGGTGCCGAGAATGGGGTTTCTCATTCTGGGGTCCCGGGTACACAGGTGCGTTCCCCTTGTGAAACTTCCTTGAGCTGTGTCGTTACAGTTCACGTCTTTTTCCTCATCACTACTACATTGTGTTGTGTGTCCCTAAAGATTTCCTTCAAAAACAAAACCTCTGAAGCTGTTGTAAGCGAAAGGGGATTAATGAAGAATACAGACCCCTAGGAAAGTTTGGGATGGGGGGGGTGGAGGGAGGTGCCAGCTCTAATCCAACCCCGCGGAGATGGGCTCCCAGAGAGCCTGCGTTGTCTCTGCAGTCGAGAAAGCAGAAAATCCAGACGCTGCCCCTGGAATGGTTGGTTTCAGACGTCTGTTGCCTGAACCGCGGGGCAGAAATCTGGAGGCTTCTGCAACACCAGTGTACTTTCCAGGGCAGTGGTTCTCAAAATTTGGCACGAGAGCCTTTTGTCATGGCAGAGAGCAAGTCAGCCAGTGACTTGTGCCCCGGTCTCAGAGAGGAGAGGTCGGTGCCATTGCAAGAAAACTTAAATGCTACTCGGGTCCCCTAGAAGCAGTTTGGGAGGTGGTTCAGAGTATTGGGCTCTGGGTGGCAGGAGATGTAAAAAAACAAAACTCGGGGGTTAACTTGGCCCTGTGATCAGTGCGTATCAGATAGACAGAAACAGAATCTGAGAAAACACAACAGTCAGAAAGTAGTTTACATTTCTTTTTTTAAAAGAATGTTTACTTAATTTTGAGAGAGACAAAGAGAGTGCGAGGGGCAGAGGGGCAGAGAGAGGGGGAGACACAGAATCCGAAGCAGGCTCCGGGCTCTGAGCTGGCAGCACAGGGCCCGAGATGGGGCTCGAACCCACGAGCCATGAGATCGTGACCTGAGCTGAAGTCAAGAGTCGGGCCCTTAGCCGACGGAGCCCCCCACGCGCCCAGGATTTGTACTTTTAACCTTCTAGCCTCTGTCGTAAGGGAAGGTTCAGAAAGTGGAACTAGATGCTTATGCCAACCTGCTGTACCCTGTATAGACGTTAAAGCTGAAATGTTCTGCCTTCCCAGAGAATTAAAAATAATGCACCTGTATCACCCTGAGGGGAAGCCTACTGACACCTCGAAAGACGCCCTCACTGTTAGTGACCAGTTTTTCAGCCGTTGCCCCAGGAGATTACCCAGATTCCCCCCATCTGAGTTACTGCCTATAGCCTTTTTTCTTACTGATTTTAAGGAGTTCTTTACATATTCTAGACATAAATGTTTTGCCAAATGTGTGTGTGACAAATATCTCCTCCCGCCCTGTGCCTTTTCACACCATTAATGTTGTCTTTGGATGTGCTGAAGTTCTTAAGTTGAAAGAAGTCCAATTTATCTTTTTTAAATGGGCATTGCTTTTTGTGCTTATTAAACAGAAATCTTCGTTAATTCAAAGTTCGTGAAGACAGTCTCCTGTTTTCCTCGATAACATTTATTGTTTTAGCTCACATAGTTAGGTCTTGAATACATCTTGAATTAGTTTAGGGGATAGTTTACAGAGGAGGTCAATGTCCACATTGTTCTCCTTTGTATGTTGAGTTGACTCAGAACTGCTTTTTGAAAAATCCATCACTTGCCCCATTGAATTGCAGTGACACTTTGTTACATGTGTGTGGTTTTGTGTAGGCATATCTATTTTGTTGTATTGATCTTTGTATCTGTCCTTATGCCAGTAACACACTTTTTTTTAAATATTTTTTTTAACGTTTATTTATTTTTGAGACAGAGCGTGAACGGGGGAGGGTCAGAGAGAGGGAGACACAGAATCGGAAACAGGCTCCAGGCTCTGAGCACTCAGCACAGAGCCTGACGCGGGGCTCGAACTCACGGAGGGCGAGATCATGACCTGAGCCGAAGTCGGACGCCCGACCCACTGAGCCACCCAGGCGCCCCAGTAACACACTTTCTTAATCAGTATAGCTTTAGAATAAGTCTTGTTATGTGGTAGTAAAAATCCTCCAGATTTGTTCTTATGCAAGACTTCCTTGACTATGCCAAGTCCTTTCCACTGGCAGTTACACTTTGATTTAAAAAAAATTTTTAATGTTTATTTTTGAGAGAGAGAGACGGAGGGGCAGAGAGAGAGCGAGACACAAAATCCAAAATCCAAAGCAGGCTCCAGGCTCTGAGCCGTCAGCACAGAGCCCGATGCGGGACTTGAACTCACGAACCGTGAGATCACGACCTGAGCCGAAGTTGGACGCTTAACCGACTGATCCACCCAGGAGCCACTGAAATTGCATTTTAGAGATGGTCAATTCTACCAAAAGTCCTGTTTGAATATTTTATTTCAAATACATTGAGTCTGTGTCTTTCAATCTATGAATATGGTATATCCTTTCATTTAGACAATTTTTAAAATTCTCTGCACAGTGATTCGGAGCTATTAATGTAGCACTGTTGTACTTTTTAATGACATTTATTACGGTATTTGTTATTAGGTTATTCATAGTTTTCTTGCTATTGTAAGTGACATTTTAAAAAGTTGTCTTGGGGCGCCTGGGTGGTGCAGTCGGTTAAGCGTCCGACTTCAGCCAGGTCGCGATCTCACGGTCTGTGAGTTCGAGCCCTGTGTCCGGCTCTGGGCTGATGGCTCAGAGCCTGGAGCCTGTTTCTGATTCTGTGTCTCCCTCTCTGTCTGCCCCTCCCCTGTCCATGCTCTGTCTCTCTCTGTCCCAAAAATAAATAAACGTTGAAAAAATACATAAAAAGGTTGTCTTTTTTTTTTTTTTTTTTGCCAGTGTGTATGAAGATGACATATATTTATTTGGATGTTGGGTTTTGTATGCAGTAAATTTGCTATTTTTACTTATTAATTCTAATAATTTGTAGATTTGGGGAGTTTTCCAAGCACCTAATTGTGTCATCTGCAAATGATGACAGTCATATTTCTTCATTTCCAATCTCAATGTCTTTAATTCTTTGTTATGCCTTAACTTATTTTATGAGCTAAGATCCCAGTACAACTTTGAAAGCAGTGGTGGGAGTGACCATACTTGTCTTGGTCCCAGTATCTGGGAGAAAGTGTTAAATTCTTACCATAATCAGGATGTTAGATGTCGGATTTTGTATATATGCATCATGGGATTAAGAAATCTCCTTTCCATTCCTAGACTGGTGAAAGTTTTTAGTGAGGGGTGTGGAATTTTGTCAAATGCTATGATCATTTGATTTTTTTCTCTTACTCTTTGTGATACATTTCAAGTGATTGATGTTTACATTAAACAAATTTCATATTACTAAGACAAACATTACCTCTTTACTTTAACTCATTGGATCACTGGTATTACTGGATCTGATTGCTATTATTTGATGTAGGAGTTTTACATCTAGAATGTTCAACACATAGATTGACCTGGAATTTCCTCTCTAGTAATATCCTTGTCAGGTGTTAGTATGAAGATTATTCAGGCCTCATCAAGAGAGTTACGAATGTTTTTACTTTTTCTGTTTGCTGAGAGAGTTTATGTATGGTATTATTCCTTCCTTAATGGTTTAAGTTTTCAACAGTGAAGCCATTTTTGCATACTGTTTGCGTTGTCAAAAGGTGTTATAAGCTGAATTGTGTTCCCTCCCAGATGCATTTTTTTAAACTT